CGAAAAATTTGTTAGTATTTTTGATTTCACCCCTTAAGAGTTCTTAGTGCACAAATATTGGATTCATTTCATAGGTGTAATTTACGCTGGGGATACTGGGGACACGTCTCCATCACGTTTTTTGAAGCACTTGTTAAATATGTTCTGAAAAATGGCTTGAAACAAATGTTTAAAAAAACGAATGAAAATAATTTAAGAATGGTTTATTAACACAGTAAGATAACATACAATGCCATTTAAATATAGAAGAAACAAGTATGCATATCCAAGAAAAGTTTCTTAAGCAAAAAACAAGCTGCTGAGTACTGCATTATATTCTGTTTGAATTGTCATCTGAATCAATTCTACCACAAATTGGTGCAGAAAATGTCTCCAGAATGCGTGAAATTAAGTGTTTTGTGTACAAAATTTTCTAGGGGACCCCCATTTATATATTTCAGCATTGAATATTTCATCAAAATAGTGTTAAAATATCTTGTCTTGTTCTCGTGAACCCAATATTGTAAATCGTGCATGTGAGCTAAGTGTATCATCACACCCCTAATTTGAACCCCTACGTCCCCACCACTTTTCAACACAAAGTGACGTCCTTGATTCATATCAAAGTACAAACACACCCCAAAAAGCTATAGTGTGTTAAAGATTATGTATTATAATAAAATGTTTTATTAAATTCATAACTTTGTAAATTTTCTTGGGCTTAAAATTCATACAGATTTTTCATTATATGCCAGTGAAGTTGGTATTAAATTTCATCCTAGGTGGTATTAAAAAGGTCTTAAAGTCTTAAATTTAACTTTGAGAATCCTGGGGGTACCCTGAGTGCATTGCAGTTAGAAATAAACAACCAGAAATGTTCCTAATATGAAGATTGCTATCTCTCCCTTAAACAGCATCTATGTAACGACGCGTCGACAATGAAAATTCACGTCACCGAATTTTTATAGTTGTTGTCGTCGATTACGTTGCCTAATTGTTGCAGCCCTACACAGCATGATGATGATTTAGTAAATTATGGTCCCATTTAGAGGAAAATAGACCAGAAAGCAGGGGAGGCTTTAGGGCGGGGCTACGTTGTGACTGACAAGTCGCTATGTGTGGTACCCCCATGGATGTTCAGGACAGAGCTGAACACCTCCTTTTCTCTCAGCTGGACAGGCAGGCTGGAATAAAATAAAGCTGCTCGTTACTTTCTATAAATTGAACTAAAAGTCGTTCTGTTAGCTTCCTGCTCAGCTTCCAGTCTGAAGGGGAGATGTTTCTTAACCTGCTTCACTTCTCCAGACGTTTGAGAACAGACTTTTGTTGGTCTGGAAAAGCTGAAGCATTTATTACCTGACACAACGACACCGTACCTTTACTGCCAGAATACTTTCCTCTGAGATTCACCGTCACTTTCTGTCACTCAGACAATCAAACACTGAGACCTCCAGATTAAAGGACGACGTAGACGTCCTGCAGGGTTTCCACGGGGTCTTTAAAAAGTCTAAAATTTCAAAATTTTGGGCCTTAGAAAAAATTCCATAAATTCGCTGAAGTTGTAGGTCTTAATTTTAGATATAAATAGGTAGCCTGTTTATATTCCATGTTACTCTACCCCTAATACTCATTGAAATGGCCCCGCAGTGCTCAAGAATGTTTTTTCCTCCCGTGGTGGTGTAATTTTAGTTCTTTCTGTCGCTAGTCCATATCGGTCCAAATATAATTCGCTGTACGACTACAAAGACCAACAGGCAGCTTTCGTGTTATTGCAGCAAGTCTCTTTCAGATTGTACCACAGATATAAAATTGATTTATTCTTCAGCTACGGGGAAGTGCAACCTTATCGGTTCTTGGATGGAAAAATCTTAGGGCTTAAAACCAGTCTCTAGCAACGTATTTGAAGCCTACTGTCGCTGCTTAATGAATGCGCTGCTATTAAAATTTCACACGACCATTGATTTTCAGTAAACTACGGTAACACTCAAAGGATGAAAGAATGTGAGAGCGTCAGAAAGTGAAGTTAGCAGAGGATAAGATTAGCATCAAGATGTCAGGTTACAGCTCTGTCCTCTACTGTACATCTTGATAGTTAAATTAAAGAAAAGCAGCAAATCCTCACGTTTGAGGAACTGGATGGTTCCAGTTCCTCAAACGTGAGGATTTCTGGGATTGTTGCTTGATAAATGACTAAAACAATTAACCACATTTTAAAATAGTTGCAGGTTATTTTCTTTCGATTGACTAATTGATCAATGAATCACTGTCACTACTTTCTTTCATCCCAAGAAGATATTCATGGTGCTGCAGGAGCAAGAGCAGAAGTGAAGTTTGAAAACATGTACAAATACTATTACAGTTTACAGCAAATGTTAATGAACGAGTCCAGACGAGACAGAACAAGCTGTCCCTGTGAGTTCTGGTCTCATCAAGCCCAAATCACATCAGAGGGAAAACTCAGACCTAAGAAAATATGCCCTCCAAAATCTTCATGAAGGCTACTCCTTTAAAGAGGACATGTTGACATTGTGATTTTAGCCATCTGTTTAATTTAACAGGCACAGTTTTCTGCATCTGCATGCCAGCGTCTCTGACAATTCAAGAAGATTTTTGCCATTCTTAAATGAAACACAGGGGAATGACCTGCGGCTTAATCGGTGGTGTTAGTGAGGAATGATAGTGAGAAATTTCCTAGTTAACTGATGAGCTAATACAAAAACCATTTTCTCTTAGTATGAGCAAGTGTGTGTGTTGGTGAAAAGCGACTTTGAAGATGTCAACGTTTCCAGTTAAAGTCGGCGGTGGGATCAAACAAAAACGGGTCTTTCCCCTTCCCAAACAGATCCATCAGTATGTTACTACACCTACAGTGCAGAATGCGGGTGTGTGAGGCCGCCAGAGACACACCGACTCTGAGAATGGCCTGAGTGGTTTGCTGATGAAGAGGGAGCAGGGGAGGTAGCCACACGCTGAGGCCTACCTCTGGCAGGCTACTAAGCCTACTGACACAGTGATGGGGGTTCTCTCAGGCAGGCTGGGAGGGTGTGTGTGTGTGTTTGTGTCAGAGTGAAAAGGCAGCAGGGCTGGTCCTCAGTATTGTTGTTTTAAATCATCTGTCTGTCTCCGGGCCCCTGCAGTCCTCAGCTCTTCTCAGTGTCAGCCTCTGATGTGTGGCGCCCTCAGTATCGGTACATGTCGTAGGTACTGACCCAAGACGAAGGAAAACCCATGCGGGGAACCTACGGAGGATTTCCTCCAGTTGAGCAGTCCTCTGGTCTTGCCCAAAGAAATAGTGGGAGCAGATGGCAACAGAGATCATCCCCTCGGGGCCTGATGGGTCCGGGTCCCTGGGAGGCTGGCAGAGGGAGAGAAAGAAAGAATGTCAGACAGACAGTTGACATGTGAGAGGACCAGAACCAGAGAAGCAGTTTATCCTATAAGGTCTGGCTGCAGCCTGTAGCACCTCAAGCTACACCCCCTCAACCCGCACCCCCTCACAGTAGAGTCTGTTATGATTGGCTGTTGCCTTCCTCAAGTCGTGTTCCCTTTGAGTAGGGTCGGTCCATTCTGCGCATGCGCGTACTTATTCCTGCACAATTTGTACCACGCATGTGCAAACATTGTAGTTGATGGCAGCCAGTGATTTTTTTTTAAAACTTTATTTACAACAAAATATTATACAAATACACTATTACAGGGAGTCATAGCATTAACACAAAGACTAAAATTTGTTCTTGTTTCCACAAGCTAAACGTTAAACAGATCCAGGAAAGTATCATGTAAGCAATTAAAATATACAACTGACGTGTTATTACTAAATAAATGTTGTGCTGTCCAAAAGGTCTTGAAACATTTTTAAACTTTGAGCTCTGATCTTCATTAGTAGAAATTGGTAGGCATGTTTCCGCGCTAGCAACAGCTGTATATTAGAAGTATTAGCTGTATTTAGTGTTAACAGTCCCATTGTATGTTGTCAGAGAAAGCAGCAGGGATGTACAATAAGAGAATAAGAGTTACAATCTCTAGCACCATCTTCTTTTAGCCAATGGAGACGTCACGGTCCTCCATTGGCCCATTTGAGTTTAGCTGCTCTACAACTCTCTAGAAGAATCACCTTGTCTTAAGCTTCATTATACCTGCATGTGTTTTAGCTCATGCAATGATTTTTAAAGAGAGTCTTTAAAAAGGTCATGGGTTTGTTTAAACCCATGCAATTCAAAAAATGTTAATCTTCTGAATTGGAGTTTAAAGGTTATCAGCAACAGCAACATAGACCAACTGTGTCCTGACAGGAAGCTAAACTCCTGCAGACATCAATGACTGAGGTCCTACGGTGATGTTTAGCATAAATCTAGAAATGTGCGTAATTAAAATAATGACTAAGATGGATTGCAGGCTGCAGCAGATGCAGCAGTACCTTATATATTTAATATTGTGGGCAAGAACAACAATCTTAAAGGAGAAGTTTGGTTTGGAGTTAGACGAGAAGACTGATACCTCACTCTTGTCTGTATGCTAAATATGAAGTTGGAGCCAGGAGACAGTAAGCTTAACTTAGCATAAAGACTGGAAAAGTGGGTAAACAGCAAGCCTGGCTCTGTCTGAAGGTAAACAAATCCACCTACCAGCATCTCTAAAGCTCACTCATTTACACATTAGTGAATAAGTGTGTTTCCCAAAATGTCAAACTTTACTTTTTCAATATTTTACATCAATAGAAAGTTTTGTCAACTATCAAAACTGGGTGACACTGATCCCTTCACAGATGACCGAAAACAGAAAGCAGTTTGAATAATTCACATGAAACAGAGCAGAGATATGAAATGTTAATTAGTACAAAAAGTACAGAATGCCCCTTCAGCTGCAGGCACTACCTGTATTTCAAACCAGAAGGTCCATGTGGGAGCGTCGAGGCCATGGGAATAGAAGACAAAATATTCTCCACTCCGATCTAGCTGAGGCGTCCCGTCACCGAAGGACCAGGTAGAGAGGGTGGCTCCTCGGTGAGGCATCAGATACAGAAAGACATGTGACTGGGGCCTGCACGGGACAGGACAAGACACAAGTCCACAAGTTAACATGCAGGTATGTGCACACAAATGCATCCAGATCAGCCAGTTGGAAAATGACTGTTTCACATTATTGACAGTTTATATCTGTGACAGTGGCTGTACAGTGAGGGTTACAAATCTGCTCGCCACTAGAAACCCAAAACTGAATGTGCTCAAATTCTAACAATGACATGAAAATGGAAACTTGAACTTGTATATGAATGTTCTCAGTCTTTCATGTCATAGGTATCCAAGGAAAGTTAAAATCAAATGAACTTGGACAACCAAGTGCTGATTGTAAACTCTCCATAACAGTTGATGTGTCACTGGATATTTTCAGTATGCTGGCTGAGAATATGCTGCTGTCATCAGCCATTACCTCTTCTGAACTGGTCATATGACTCAAGTCCAAGTGAAGTCACATGACAGCTTGCTTGCAACTCATACAAAGATAACCTATGGAAACATAAAGTGCTCCTGACCTTTCACGCTGAAGGTCATCTTGATGGTCCCCCAGCTGGTGTCTTCTTTGGACTGCAGGCTGAACTCCACTGGAGAGCTGGGAGACACTTCTGGAGCAGGAAGGTACCAGTTTTTCCTGCAAATGCAACAAAATACTTGAGGCGAGGAAGAACACTAAGTATGAAAAGTCCATACATGAAGACAATAACATTAACTGAATGAAAACAAAGAGCATGGAGTTGCTGTTAGCTGCAGGGTTGTTACTGACTTCCTGAGGAACATGGAGGGGTAACCACAGAAGGGTCGGTCCTGATGGCAGTGGGTGCGAATACTGTCATTGATCTCAGGGATGTGTGGGGTGATGTGCTGTATGCCTGTAAAGTCTAAACAGTTGATCCACAGACCTGAGTCCCGGCTCTCCACTTGGCCCTGGAGATTGTAGAAGGTCCGCGTTGTATGCTGCAGGGGTGTGGATAAAACATTTTTAAAAATTAAGTTACTTGCTTCTTTTAAGCGTGTTTTACTTCAACCTGCCTTGTTTTACAGCTGTTTAATGGAGTGCTTTTCTACTCTTGCCAGAATTACTTAATGGAGCTTAACATGAGCAGGTGGAGGGGTCGAATCAGAGCGAGTTTTCTAGATCAGGAAAACAGGTGTGGAGAGTGCAGGCTGGAGCTACACTGCAGGATGTTCCTTTGTCAACCATGAAAGAGTCCTCCATTTAAGAAAGGATAGTTTCATGTAGGTATAAACAGTTTTACAAAACTGGTCAAATATCTTCAAAATCCAAAGTGGAAAACACAGAAATGTACAGAATGTTTAGTTTTTAAATGGATGAACTTCAGTAAAGAGAAAAATGTGAATATGAGTGATTTCTGTCATTTTTCTAGAGAGAAATGGAACAAATGCATGTGTTTAGAGTAAATATTTAGGCTTCTGTGTGTGTGTGTGTGTTTTTGAACCTGCAGGAAGACTCGTTTGGGCCGCGGGCTGTCTGGACTTCCTGAATAAGGAAAGAGGAGCCCACTGGACACCAACATGAACGTGACAATGAAGACTGAGCCCAGACCAGCCAGGATCCACTTAGTGCTCCGTGCCAAGTAGATGAAATGCAGCTGAGACAGACAGAAAAATATGTTACTGGCGTGGAGGAACAATCGACACTGCAGTTGCACATTTTTGGTGAAATGGTAGATTATCTAAAAAAAACTAAGCTACCATCTGCAAGATTATTACATTACTTTACATTACTCAGTCAGCTTTAAACTGCTGTTATCTGAAGTCAAGTAACTAATGTTAGTAAATGCTCAAACAAAACACTGCTGCCATCAACTTGACCAAATTGTTTGATCATGTGTACTCTGTCCTGCATACACTCCCCAATTCACCACCAATGTGATTTTAAGGTAATTCTGCTGACAACAAAAATCCAGATTTGTTGTTCTTAATGTGGCCATACTCACAAAAAAGGAGGAGAGGAAGATGGTTGCCAGGGTGACCAGGGAAGCCAGCACCAGCTCAGGGTGTTCTGTGCCATTGCGACCCATGATGGGTGTGAAAATCTCAAACACCACCCAGATGAGGAACATGAAGTGGACATACGGCAACGCCAGGCCAAACAGATAGAGCACAGTGTACTTCAGGGACGCTCCTGTAGAAAAACAGAGATCAACGTGAACACGGCAAGGATCAGATCATTTATTTAATTATACAACACAAGACTGTACAATGAAATGAAAGTTTCGATTCTCTTCATGTGACACACAGAGCACAACAGATAGTTAACTATATTTTAGAATAAAATAAAGTATAAAAGAATATAGGCCTACACAGTTAATTATATACATACACTTTTATAACGATTCTACAGTGCATCTTTTGAAAATGCGTCTGGGGGAATGAAAACAATGAAGCTCAACCTATAAACGTGCTGACATCATTGGCCGATATAAGCTAATTGCACATAAATTGATACCAATTTATCAATTAAAGAAATGAGGAGAAGGAAGACAGATCCTTCAATTATGTGAGTGTTATCTGTTATCTGAGTGTCCAAACAGTTTCAGGGGAGGCTCAGCGGTTTTGGGGGAACAGTCTGTGTGAATTGTAGCCTCAGTTTCCTGTTCTCAGCTGACAGGAGAGGCACCTCTTCTGCTGCTGTAGCCAATCTGCTTCAAGGTTTGACGTGTTTGGCGTTCAGAGATGGTATTCTGCATACCTTGGTGGTACAAGTGGTATTTGAGTTACTGTTGCCTTTCTGTAATCTCGAACCAGTCTGCGTATTCTTCTAACCTCTTGCATCAACAAGGCATTTTCATCCACACAACTGCAGCTCACTGTATATTTTCTCTTTTTCAAACCATTCTCTGTAAACCCCAGAGATGGTTGTGAGTGAAAATCCCAGTAGATCGGCAGTTTATTAAATACTCAGACCAGCCCGTCTGGCACCAACAACCATGCCACGTTCAAAGTCACTTAAATCTTCTTTCTTCCCCATTCTGATGCTCGGTTTGAACTTCACCAAGTTGTCTTGACCGGGTCTACATGCCTAAATACATGTTGCTGCCATGTGATTGGCTGATTAGCTATTTGTGTTAAACAGCAACAAAAATGGTGAAGATAATATGGTTTTCATGTAATATATTCATATGATCATATTTCATCTTCACTTAAAAAGTTTGATATTGGGGAAACAGTGTCCATTTTGACTGCACCGAGCATCATCAAAACACAGAGTAAGCCTCCTTTCATCTTGGTGGGGTCTTGTGCTCTGTCAGCTCATACCACGGTCCACCCACCGAGTGCTTGATCCAGGATGTTAAAAAAACAGGTCTGTGTAAAGATATGCACAGTTTCTGATTTCCCTTTGTTTGGCAAGCCTGAATCCCATTTCATCCAGATTGGACATTAGCCAGGAGTAGCCTTAAGTCCAAGTTGCCAACTCAGCTCATATCCCAGCTATTTTTCCTCTCCTCCTCCGCTGTGGTGCCTCGTCCAGTTGATCTGACTGGGTGGATCATCTCAAAGGCTGCTGCTCTTTAATCCAAACCCTGGATTCCTTTTCCAATTCCTGTATTTCTGTTATGGGTAATACGTGTTTCAGCAATAAAGCTGAAAAATAAAAATGTAGCGGAGTTTGAAGGCTCTACAGCATCTGCATGAAGCGATTCAGTATACTTGAAAGTAACTAGTTTGTGTCACTTGCCATCCAACTATCTAACTATATCTACACACAAGGCAGGCGGAAAGCCTATCACCGTAGCCTCCTCCTGACTGCATCCCACTGCCTCCCTGATCTCTCTTCAAGAACTATGTGGCTTTTACACATCTTTGTAGTCTCAGCACATAGAATCGTACAAATGGGAATAGTGGTGTGTACTCTCAGACAGTTAAGTAAGTTACTCATTTAGTGGTGTGATTAATTAAAAAAAAGTGAAGTGAACTTGAGAAAAGTAAAAACATTTCTTCACACCTGGCCAATAATTGCGTAAAGCTCCCGTGATTTTGCAGTTGGAAAGGGGATTTCAGAAACTGTTAGACAAAAGTGTCCCATTTTGTAGTATATTTAATTTGCCTATAAAAAAAATTCACTGTAAATTAGGTGGAGTTGGCGCTGACTCTTTACCTCTATGTTTAAATTCTTTAGCCAGCAGCAGTCTGGTAGCCAGGGGGAAGGCCACCATCAGCATGGGCACGTAGGCTGAACAGAGGCCCTGCAGGGTCAGCCACACCAGGCTGAAGCACCACAGCAACAAGCTAACATCAAAGTAGAGATCACCCAACTCCACTGAACAGACACCCTGCATAAAAACACACACACAAGGAATATGAGTAGATTAGAGACATCGATCGTTGATTTTTGTATGTTGCTTTGATAGATGGAACCAGCTGATGGGTAGTCACATTGATGTGATGCAACATTTGTCATCTTTATTAGTATCTGTTACTCTCAATATTCTATTTTGTTGATAGATCCATGTTTATTTGTGTTTACTTTGGATTTCAGTACAGAGAATGTATCTAAAATATAAGTTAAAATAAAAGTATAACATTTTTGTTTAATTTTAATGTTTTCCTTAGACAAAATAATAAATATATTTACCCAAATGTCTCATGACAAACTTTAGGAAGTGAGAAAGGAAGAGCATCTGCTACTTCTTCCACGTTAACCAAATATCATGGACTTACTAACAGAGCTGTTTTCATCCTTTCTGTTTAAGACATCACAAATATCTATATATTTCTATGGAAGTCCATTTCTGCCACTGTGATGAAAAAAAAGGATCCTGTAAGTCATTATAATTAGAAACTATCTCAAAATAACAACTTAGTTTCTCAAAATAATTAAGTATCTCAAAATACTGAATATGTATCTCAACATGATGACTTAGCATCTCAGAATAATGACTTATAGTATCTCAAATTAATGAGATGGGTTTTTTAAAATATAATTTTGACTTAATACCTCTTATTATCTTGAAAAAGAGGTTAAAATAGACACAACTATAAAACCTAGTTGTAAAACCACAATGTAGATTCATGATATCTGAAATACCCCTCCCTCCCTTTCACTTAAAGAATTCCTATTTTATAACTTACCCCATAGAAAATGTTCTTAGCCAGCGTGTGAAAGAGGAGCATCATGCCTGTGGCAGCAGCCCCATACAGACAGATGGAGGCGTAGAAGTGGTTGTACCAAAACATGGAGCGGCCCAGCAGAGAGACTAGCAGAGCTACAACCAGTACTGAGATCAGGGTGACGATCCAGCTCAGGAATGTTACACCTGTGGCACAGACCAGATCTCGAACATAGTGACCACCACAAGGCAGTGAGGCTTTCTTTGCCAGATAAATGAAGGTGGCTGTGGCTACTAAGTAGTTGAGGATGGTGCCAACACAAGCTGGGTAAGCCACCACGATTGCTCCTAATAGGTCAAAAAATACCATGTTGCCATGACGGTACTCTGAGGAATCAGCCAACTTCTCTGAGTTTGCCAGGTACCTCAGGACTGCCAAGATGTTGTCGCCTGAAAACAGGAAGTGAGTTTTGAGGTGAAAAGGTTCAAAGCTGGAATGTACATAATAAAGCTTGGTTGCATTTAGCTGCCTAATTTGATTTCTGCAGTGTAGGGCGGTACGTCAGCTGGACAGCCAGAGGGTACAAGGAGGACATGATCTTAACCTAAAGCCAGGACTGGACAGGAGACCATTTGAATTCATGGAAATAGGCAATGGACAATAGGCACTGAATACTGAGTTTACTCCGGTTTTTGGTTTTCCACTATTTCTTATTCTACCCCCACAATCAGAGGAACGAAACTGTTAATGTGACAAAAAAGGATCTTCCTTTTTTAGAGCTGACACATCATATGCAGTAGTTTGTTGATTGAAAAAAATTTTTTTAACACCTCCTGTATCCATTTTAGATTAAAAGCCTTTTAGCGTTTGTTAACAAGGCTTTTATTGTACTGTATTTATCAAAAGCAAACTTGGTGTAGAAAGCTAGGCAGTAGCACTGCCGCAGCAGCAACACAGTGGACACCACCACATGTGTGCAAGCTGCAGCAGTTCAGCAAGCGAGCCGTCACGTACAGGTAGTGGTAGGGAGTGTGGGCCGAGCATGAGTGACAGAGAGACACCCCCCAACTAGCTAACATGCGCTTAATCTATTTGCATGAGTGTTGAATAAATGCATAGGATAACACCTATTTAAGTTTAGTAGGTATAAGAAGATCATGTGATGCTTTTTGCGTACCGGCTCTCTGTATTGAGTCTGTCGGGATCCTGTCTGCAGTGTCGTGCTTGGTATGGTAGATGAAACCATTTTCAACGAAAGCCAAATCAATGCCTGTAAAAAAAAATAAACAAATAGAATTAGATAAAAACAGAGAAAAGTAAGGGAGAAAAAGACCAAACCATCTTTGCTTTGTCAGCCACTGGATTATTATTTTTGACTTTGATACAGAAAGGCTCCATACTTTCATGACTCATTTCTATACTGTACTCTGAAGATTGTTCAGCATTACCTGGGATGTTACCAAAGTCCCTGTAGATACTGAAGTCAGTGTCAGAGGGGATGTAGCCACTCTGATAGATTTCCTGGCCGACCACAGAG